GATCGCACTGGCTTCCTATCCTATGCCTTTCTCATGTTCGCATGAGAATGGCTTTGAAACTCACCCCGCGATGCTGAGCATCACAAATGAATTGTAAACAACTGTTCATTCATGAAGCATCTCCATGTAATATCGGTAAATTTGAGAAAAAAAATTTTGTTGCAAGGAAACAAATGCGAATTTGAACGGATTACTGAACTTTTCTACTTTGATATTCGTCATAATTATAATAGTCACCTTGGGCTACATTTCAGCGCAAAAATCTTTTCATTTTTTCAAATAAAACCTTGCCAAATCGACTATCTACGCGTTCATCACTTTTTGCCGCTGTTTTCGCAAAGAAGCGAATTTTTTGAGCACTTTTTGGGGTAGAATTCATGGCGCGCAGAGTTACTTGTAAGGCAAATCATAATTTTGCAAAAAGTCGAATTAGCGACCCAGTTTTGCGTGCCAAAAGGCGCGTGGACTTGTTTGATGCGCAAATTATGAGGGACCTGCTTATCCGGCTCGTCCTTGTGCATGGTGGGCCTACACGCTGGCACGGTATGTTATGCAAAATTGCAGCCCGATAGCTTAGTTGCAGCTTCCTCTATGAATTTCGTGACAGACAGGTTTTCACCCAGACACACAGACACACACACAAAAAACAGACGGCCTTAGCGCGTTATCATGGTAGGATATAGAAGGTCGTAATTGGGTTCCGAACAAGGAAGAAAGGGGTACCAGAGCCAAATGTCCCGCGCCCCGCATACGAGGTAGCGAGGTAGCGCGCAACTCGCGGAGACGCAGACGAGCAGCGGAGACAGACCAGAGTCGGCGGGGCCTTTGGCTCTGGTGATTGATCTCCTCGGGGTTATAACGAAAACAGAAACTCTGTAAAAGTAAATATCGTTGGGATCCTCATGAGACGGCCAGGAGCACTGAGTCCCAAGCTTTGAAAATTAGGAAAAAAAAGTCAGCGGGTCCCCAAAATCACTGCATAACGAGATCGACCAGCATTTATGTGGCTACTCTCTGCGCAAGATCTGAGCGCAGGCCCTTGTTATTATTAAACTACAGCAGCTTTCATAAACTTCCAACGCTCAATCGGGGTTTAGAGAAAGGATAACTGAGAAATTTTGTCCTAGTTTCTGATTGAATTTTTGAATAAGAACCTTTGTTTCAGCAAAAAAGGCCATAAAAACGCAATCCTTCGGTTTTTTGAGCTTCTTTTGGATGTCACTACTATATTCGCTTCATTCACATTCACCCCCATATGGTTGTCATTAGTTATGTCATAATATCGGGGCTTCGCCCCGGATGACCTCTGTACTTCTCTCCAGGTAAAAATTGTGTTTTATTATGACGCTCACAGTGAAGGTTACCAGATTACATACAGTGACCGCCAAAAAGTTGCGGACAAGCCTCCCTCCCAATTTCATCGCTCTATTTCAGAAGGAAAAAAAGGATAAAAAATGTAGTAATTGCATGAGGTGATAGAGCTCTTCAAGATCTACAATCTACATTTTGCGTTTTTCGAAAAACATGTATTCTAAAATTTTTAAAAAACTTTCTTAAAAAAGTCCGAAAATGGCCGCGTCACGATGTCGCGGACAATAATTCTTCGAACGCAAAAATTTTCTTTTAGGTCTTTTCTTGGAGCAAAAACAGAAGTTTTCCGGAGAGATAAGCATACTACTATACAGAGCTCGTCAAGAACTACACACTGGTTATGGTTGCTTCCCAGAAAACACAAGCTTGAATTTTATTTTGCTTCTTTTCAAAAAACAACCTCTAACGGGGTCTCAGTGGTGGTTGGAGTGAAGGCTCTTAACAACACCAAAACAGTTCTAGTGCTTCAAAATGGATCTATTACAAGAACATTGACAGTTTTAAGCTTCCAGGATTGAACTGGTAGCGAAAGAAACTCTATTCAACTTTAGCTGGATATCCTCACCCTACCACTGAGGCTGCATTTTTCCACCCCATCCGCCAAATCTCCGCTGTTTCTTATACCCATCTCTTTTGCATACCATCGTGTAGAGGAATTCTCGTTCTTTCGAATGAGCCTAATTGCAAGCTCACACATTGACTACAAGCCGAGTTACAAGCCTGCAAAGCGGTACAGGTTAGTGGTGAGGTGCAGGTGGGGTCATGTACACGCACTGTCAGAAGCCATTTTCAACAAAGAAACTCACCAGCACACGTCCGATGCATAGAAGATGGCAAAGGGCATCCATTTTGTCCAGACGGCATTGTTGGGATGTCTTGAACAGGTTTCCGTGTGAAGAAATTTGGCTTGAAGCAGGGAATTAGAAGTTGTTTTTTGAAAAGAAGCAAAATAAAATTCAAGCTTGTGTTTTCTGGGAAGCAACCATAACCAGTGTGTAGTTCTTGACGAGCTCTGTATAGTAGTATGCTTATCTCTCCGGAAAACTTCTGTTTTTGCTCCAAGAAAAGACCTAAAAGAAAATTTTTGCGTTCGAAGAATTATTGTCCGCGACATTGTGACGCGGCCATTTTCGGACTTTTTAAGAAAAAGATTTTTAAAATTTTTAGAATACACGTTTTTCGAAAAACGCAAAATGTAGATTGTAGATCTTGAAGAGCTCTATCACCTCATGCAATTACTACATTTTTTATCCTTGTTTTCCTTCTGAAATAGAGCGATGAAAAAGGGAGGGAGGCTTGTCCGCAACTTTTTGGCGGTCACTGTAGCTCTATGTATCGAAGGTGTGCACACATACACACACATACACACGCATATTCAGATGGAAAACTCTGAAAAGGACTTCAAGTTAAAATCTTTGAAATCCATTCTATATCCGAAAATAGGCTATTGTTAATGAACGCAATTTGGAAATTTTCTTAGAGCCTTTCGAAAAGTGATCACCGTGCGGAACAATGTCTGATGCAGCAAGTTGAAGGTCGGTGGAAAATCGTTATGAACTTTGTATGACCGTAATTTAAAAGCATTTGTACGCTAGGGTGGAAATGCGGAATGTTTTGTTCATTTTGAAATCAAGCGTATACAGCACAAAAACTTGTTGAGGGTGGTTAGTCAAAGTTGTTATAGCGGGTACGCTGTTTTGCACAAATCTAAAACCTGTCTTTCTTATCTGCTGAACGTTTCTCACCAAGGAGTTATGAGAGTTATTGAAGAACAAAAATGCGACTACTATAGTCGCAATTTTTGTAACTATCATGACTTATAATAACGGGCTAAGGGTTGTTTACGTCTTTTTGTCTGTGTGTATGTGTGTGTGTCTGTCCGTTACGAAATTCGTAAAGTATGTTCCAGCCAATGTCCCGAGCCCAAATTTTGCACGGCGTGTGCTACCAGCATCAAAGCCCACTATGCAAAAGCACGAGCGGATCCATTGAATGGATCCTTCAAAAATTGCGTTTCAGACGGATCCACTTAACTTCTGGCCAGCAAAACTATGCTGTAGCAGCACTTTTTGCAAAATCATGAGTACGTTTAATAAGCTAATGTGCAAACCATGGACTTTAGCACAGAAAAGTGAATAAAAGTTTATTACTTTACGAAGGTGGCGTCAAAAAGAATTGATTGCGTAAACTTTAATTTGCCAAGAGTTTACCTGATCATTTGTGAAAATTTTTGCACAGTGATGTGGCCCACGGTGATCACTGTCCTCAAGGCGACTACCAAGCCATGAAAAGTCCAAAAACCGATTTAAATTTGCATTTGTTTTTCTGGGAAAAGTTTCATTCACGGGAAATTACCGATCTCACATGAAAAAGTCTTAGAAATGAGTAGTTGTTTACGAATCATTCATGATAGTCTGCATAGCGCGGTGAGTTTCAATGTTATTATTGTGGGAATGAGTAAGGCATACAGATGGTGAGACCAGTGCGAGCCTCTGCGAAGCGGAGGTGGCGCACTGGTAAAATATAAGTAGTTATATGTAACGGTCAGTTCTCAAATATCAGGACAAACTTGCAGTAGTCATTGTTCAAATAAACCAATACATTTTGCTGCCTCATTGATTGCTGGGAGAATTAAACGGTATTTCACTTAAAAGCGCAACATTTTTTTCTAGCAATCCATTGTAACTTTTCGCCAACAAACGTGTTGCGGTTAGAGGAGGCAGGTTTGGGGTAAGTCATGACGCTTGCCAAGAGGCTGTAAAACTCAAATTTAAGAAAGCCTCTTCTAAGCATTCTTTGAAATAAGCACAGTAGGCCCTTGAACTATTATCTTGCTCTGCTTAATTTGGAGCTAAAATCAACAGAAAAGACCATTAAATAATGGCATAACCCGCTAAAATAGGACTGTAATTCTCTCATATACCATATACACTGAGAATGAGTAGTTTGAGACTCGTACGCAATACACAGAAGGTGCTCGTGTTTTTTTGCCTTTGAATGTCACACTATTTTGGACGGAAAAAACTTTTGAGGGTGCAAGGCATTGTCTTTAGTGCGCTTGTAAATTCATATTCCCAGTTTAGATAGTGCATGATACACTCAGATTTTACCTTTCAAATTCGCGATTTAGCAGAAAAAAGAATTGGATAGAATTTTTTCAAAAACTTAGAAAGTGACGATAGTTTTTATCTTTAGGAAACAATAATCGGAACCTATCACTCCTTCCGGCCGTTTATGTTTGTTTCTGGACAAGTTGTAGCTTAACATCAATTCCTACCCACTGGAAATTTGCAAAGAAAATAGGTGTACTTTAGCAAAACGAATAGGTAGGAATAAAATTTGTTGCAATTTCATGAAAGAGCAAAAGTGGCAGCCTTGTTAGATATAACAGCTGCATAAGTGACAGTATTGTAGGTCAGTTGAGACGTCATCAAACTCTTCTCACGTATAACGTGCTAGCGAGCGGTGATGGAGTAGGGTCACTTGCACTAACCTTTTTTCAAAGAGGTTAGGCGCCCTCACATACTTTTATTCAAAATTTGACCGTATACAGTTGTGACGGTTTGCAATATCAAATTTGTCTACGCTTTCACTATAAATTTGTATGGAAGCAAATGTTATGCCCAAGGATGAAATGTACCTTGATACTCGCAGTAAGTACGATCTGTTTCATTTGTTCATTACTTACACCTGTCTAAATACTCTGGAGTCCATATTCAGGCCCTATTTGCTGCGTCTTGGTGTGATTTGAATGCCGATCTCAAAAATCTGTTCAACAGAAGATGTTCCGATTGGAACGAAATGAAAAACAGGGACATTGTCAAACTACTCAAGATAAACAAAACGGTGGAAACAGAACCGCAAGGTGATGGTGAAAAGAAGAATGAAGGAAAAAACGTCTCTGTGGTTGGTCTACTGTCTCGCATTATCCATTAATCACTAGCAGTATTATTTCGTGCTTGAGAGTTTTTAATTAGTGTGCCACTAACTTCGAAGGTCGATCTCTTTAGTTTCGATTAGTTTTCTTGTTTTATAACTTCAAACAGATATGATTTTTTTCAGAAGTATTATTGCGCGCTCACACAGGTGGCCAGGCTTGCGCAACAGTTCAACGTCACAGGCTTAGTGCAATACTACCGTCCAATGATGTATGCAGTAGTCAAATCACAGTCAATTCATGCATTTACAATTTTTTAGACCATTTTCACTACCCATGCAAGATGTGGTTCGAGATCTCGGCAAAATGCTTACAAAGGTATGTGCTTCTTTTATATTCTCTAGGTTTCGCAAAATTTTCTAATGAGTATTGCAGTATTTAACAGCTAATCGCTGCTCCCATTAAGAAATTCAGTCATACCGTAGGTATAAACTTGATTGCAGTATACGCCTGTTGCAATGAATGCGAATGATGATCATTACCCGTTCGGATGCGATTTTGGAGTGAAATCATATAAAAAGCTAATCCCGCAGAAGAAAAAGAAAAAGAACAAGAAGAAGAAGAAGCAAAAGAAGCGTTACATGACCGTAACAGAGTACGACGCCTATTGTGTAGTAGTAACTGCCGAATTTGTTGTTGGAGTCCTAGGACAAATTCTTGGCGGGTATTATACGAACGACATAAAAGCAATCTTGGACGCTTTGAGCAAACAAGAATAGGATTGAACGAGCTTTCTAAAATACAAAAACTGCGTCCAGGATTGTCAGTGTCAGCTTAATGCCAGCGCCGTGTTACTGCTCTCGTGGAAGGTCGGTCAACTAACCTGGTTGCCTGCACGTTCAGGTACGGCGCTAGTACGACGCTGGCACAGCGCCGTTCGTCAAAACGAAGTTCTTATTAGGTCACGAGAAGTTTCGGGCTCTTCTAAAAAATTTCTTGCGGCAATTCCGAGGCCTGGTTTTTGCATGACATATTTCATAGTACCCGGTCTAGACTTATTATTTAGCGCTGTCGTTTTACCATGAGCAAGCACCAGAAATACCTTTGAACTTGTAGATGCAAACATGACAGCATTAAAAAGAATCATATTCGAGCGAATCAATTTTGATTGACTTGATTAGTCTGATTATTTTGATTAATCTGATTAGTTTTGAACTGTAGAAGCCGCACGCACTTGACCGGAAACGCATAAGCTCTGTCTTGAAGCAACCGAGGTGCGGCTTGTAGATCTGAGAATAAGGATGATTGTCAACCCGTAACATCACATCATTTTTTTCTGTTTGAAAGCGCGAATCAGAATCATAACTACATGCACTTCTACTATCTTCGAAAATGCATCAAACTAAAATTGCGACGGTATCATGTATCGGGTCCAATGATAGTGGCGTATAGTGACAGTACTCTTACTGGTTCATAAATCTAAATACTTGTGCTTGTGCAAAATATCTAATTACCTGAGCAAAAACAGAAATTGGGATAGGGCCGCAGTAAGGAACGTGACATCTAGTTCTTTTTTGAATTTACTTTTACACTAACTACAAAAGCTTTTTTGAGCTCATAATCATCAAAACCTCTTATCAAACTTATATTGAACCAGTTTCACCGGTACAACGCACCTGATTTTTTTCAAGCTCGGCCAGCCTGAACAGTCTAAAATTTTCGCTACCAAAGGACCCTCTACTGTGCTTTTTCTAAACCGAAGAAAACCGTCTAGGAAGCAACTATTTCGCATTGTCGTGCGTTGGGGCATTGTAGTGCGGTCGAACTGCTTGATGAAAAATGAAAAAGATGCGTTTTTGTACACGTGAAGAAATCATGAGCTAAAACGAGCTTTTGCAATTAGCGTGAAAGTGCATTCAAATGAAAAGTGAATGTTTCGTTTTTTATTGTTAGCAGCCAAATCATAGCCAGATTCTGCTTTTGCGCAAAGTGTCCAGATTTATGATTTTGTAAGGGTATTTATCATTTTTTCTCACTGTTACAGGAAGTAATACTTCATGACATTTCAATTTTTATCTAATGAGCTTCGCTTTACACTAAAAACTAGGTTTATTTGCATTAAGTAATAGTAATTCAAATAATCCTGAATTGCTTTTTATAACTTTATAAAAACTAGTCTGCTAAACGTTCTTTCTTCTAAGAAAAGACAAAAAGCGCGTTAAGCCCTTGATGCACGTAAACGCTCTTAAACAAATAGAAACTTCGAGATTTTTTGTGGATTTAGATTGTTATTTTCATATAGATACGAAAGTATGTTTGTGCATATCTTTATTAGTTCTTAAAAGTTTTTTCTTATTATTCGTCTTTTTAAATAAAAAAATTTTGAAAGATTTGTTCGTGAAGATGTAGCTTACTATTACTATATCATCATGGTTGAGATAGTTATCCGAGTAACAGCTTTGAGTTATCCGAGTAACAGCTTTGCAATTTTTCGTAATGAGCTCAAAATTCATAAACTCATCCTTTTTTTCTATTTTTTACTGCAGGCGCGTAATCTTACATGGTTATCTGATTGCCTAAGGAATACCTCCCGCGATTCCGCGAAATCACTACATCTATGCGACTTCGAGATTTGCCAGATGTCCGCAGATCAATCAGGCGCGAATCTCAAATGCGTGGGAGCGTAGATCCCGTAAGTGTAGTGGACTCAGCAAATCTGATCCAAACAAAGTGCGTGTATACCAGTTATGGAGATTGTTGCAGTGCCAGATCGCGAAGCGACTAAAAATGCGTGAGGTATGCCTTAGGCTTAAAAGAATTTTTTTTTGTAACACACTACTAAATAAATTTCTGCCGGTAACGTCTGGGAATGCAAATATGTATTAGGTTGATGCATAATTGCTGCACCAAAATACGTACAGACCGCAATAACTCGAAGTAATCCTATATCTCTAGTAGGATTCGATATATCATTTGATAGCGCAAACCTAGCTCTACAAGATGGTGCTTAAATATCTACACCAGCTTTAATCCACGCGAAGTTTTGAGCCAAAAACTGAAAAAAACTATGCGTCCGAAAACCTTAAGACAGATCTTAAAAAAATTGTAACTTCGTTCAAAAAGCTCATACAAATTTTCCTTCTTGCTCACGCGTAGATGTTCCACGTAGGACATTTATCTATGCGGTTGCTGTATTTTTTTCTCAACTAGACGATAAGAAAACGAAGTTTTTCATGTTTTTTCCAAAACAATGCTGAGATGTTCTAGCACTGACAGTTGTATACTATAGGACCTTAGAAGCGTGAATGTGAATTTTCAGCTCTTTAGAGCAGCTGGTTTACGAGAAATATCGATTTTTTAGCAACTAAGCAAGAAAAATTTGGATAAGGAGAGCTAGATTCGTTATTTCTCGCGAACTAGCAATTCTAGAAGGCTGAAAATGTAAAGTTTCACTGCTAACGGCATGTACTATACAACTGTTGATACTAGAACATCTCAGCACTAATTTGGCAAAAACATGAAAAACTTCAAAAAACTTCGTTTTTTCATCGCCTAGTTGGGAAAAAAATACAGCAACCGCATAGATAAATGTCTTACGTGGAACATCTACGCGTGAGCAAGAAAGAAAATTTGTATGAGCTTTTTGAACGAAGTTACAATTTTTTTAAGATCTGTCTTAAGGTTTTCGGACGCATGGTTTTTTTCAGTTTTTGGCTCAAAACTTCGCGTGGATCAAAGCTGGTGTAGATATTTGAGCAACATCTTGTAGAGCTAGGTTTGCGCTATCAAATGATATATCGAATCCTACTTGGAATATAGGATTACTCCGAGTTATTGCGGTCTGTACCTATTTTGGTGCAGGAATTATGCATCAACCTAATAGAAACAAATAGACGATTCATGAAGCAAATAAACGACATCACTAACCGACGCTATTGTTGTCTCTTCAATGACGTGCGCAACTTCATCATTATGCTGTTACTTAAAAAACAATAAGCTCTGATTACCGGACACCTGGAATGATATCCATGGAAGTCCATAATGGAGGAAAATGGACTTTCAAACCCCATTTTATTCGTTTGCGGTAGAAAACTGGTAGCAATCTACTTTCGTTGGCGTTATCCAAAAATTTCTATCTCATCGCAACCACGAGGCAAAGCATTGTGATGATAAAGATTCAACCCTACTTGAGCTCTCGCTTGCGAAAAAATCATGCGAAAAGTCTATCATAACTTATAATAACGGGCTAAGGATGTTTACGTGTTTTTGTGTGTCTGTGTGTAAGTTTGTCTGTCTGTCACGAAATTCGTAGAACGTGTTCCAGCCAACCTCCTGAGCCCAAATTTTGCACAGCGTCTGCTACCAACATGAGAGTCTACTATACAAAAGCATGAGCGGATCCGTTCAGCGGATCCTTCGAAAATCAAACGTCAAACGGATCCACTTTTCTTTTCAGCCTGAAAAGTAGGTCAGTACGCAAACTTTTTGTAAAGTTATGAATATGTTCAGCATATAAATCCGCAAAACTTTCCCCGGCAACTCAAAAAACTGCGAAAAGTTTAATCACAAGCGGAAACGGCGCCAAAACGTGGCAGTTGCTCACTTTTTCGATTTCCAGAGGTTCTACTAAGCGAAATTGAAAGTTTTTTGCTCAGAAACGTAGCTCGCGTTATCAGTTTTCATAACGGCAACTATTGAGTACTCAAAAGTTTAGTATTTATTCTAAAAACGTATTCTTTTTCCATCCGACAGAACCCTTTCATGTAAAATTACCGGTTACTTAAGAAAGTGCATTTGAAATGAAAAGCTTTCCTCATTTCATTCGTGATGCTCGGGGAGTTTCATTGCTAGCTTAACACAGGAGGAAGGCAGGACTTCCAAAGCGCTGGCCACACGTGTCAGACCTTTGGACAAGCGGAAGCAGCTTGAGTTTACAACGCATTAGTTAGTCTGAAAGACACCAGCGTTTACAAGCACATGCATGGCTCCGCACAAAGTGCGAGCGCAATGTTCATCGTAATTAATGGGATTGTGAGTAACATTCAACTTTGATTGAGTTATGTTTGAGCTGGTCACTGCGTCTGTTGTTCTTACACAGCCCATACTACACTGAAAAGTAATTGAATATTCTAGAGAATATTAGTGAACGTTTTGGCCGGACGTATAAAATCAACTTTTTTTGAAAGGGCTGACGAACAACAGTGTGTGTTTGGAACTATTTGCATCATGTACATACAAGGTGCATGTACAGGGCTTTTCAACCTGAGTGTCACAGCCGCCCCGCTCGGCCGCCACGCTTAGGTCCGCGCAGCGTTTGTGGCGCATCGTCCGGGCATTTTGCCAGTTCTCAATCGATGCCGCCGACGCATGCACCAGCCTGCGCGTAGACTGTAGCTTGGCAAAATGCCCGGGCGATGCGCCGCAAACGCCGCGCGCGGCCTGAGCGAGGCGGCCGCGTTTTAGGAGCCGCGTAAGCGGAGGCTGTGACTCTTATGTTGAAAAGCCCTGTATAGGGTGCTGCACGACGAAGGAGCAATACCTTTGGGAGCGGCGAACGCGGCTTCATTAGCAGCAGAGCGCATGATGCGCAGGTTTCACAAAGTTGAAGATACGCGCTTTCGAGCTTGCTCAACTAATAATGTTTCTGCGCCTTCATCATGCAGAAGCCTTCAAGCTTGCTTGAAACTAGAAATGTGATACTGTCGTGAGTGCAATGCATTGTCTCATTTCGATCGAATTAGTCGAAGCGGTAGGTTTCGTGCATTTGCTCTACGCACAG